TCAATTTCAACATATCCTCCCCTCCGTCGGCATCCTCTGTGAAATTATTTGGCGAAATGTCTTTGTAAACGTTCTCCATGAGATCCAGAAGGTAGTTCTAAAGGGTTAAGTACACGTTATATATATACATACATACATATAGGTTGACTCAAGAGTGATACAGATCTTTGACAGCAATTATCGGTAACATGTTAATGTTTTTTTTTATCAATTACACCTTTTTCACACAATTGGTACTACGGGCCTTGGCAAACTTAGTCATGGAGCGGTACTCAGTTGAACAACGCGTAAAATTGATACAAACGTTCTATAAAAATGGTCGTTTTCGATGAACATAACCGGCCCTCTGAGTCAACAATCAGAAAAACTGCCACAATTGGGTTAATGAAAATCCACACGCCATTCAAGAAAAAAAAAACAAGCAACCACAACGAGTCACTGTTTCGGGTAGTTTTTCGGTTGCGAAATCAACGGACCGTACTTTTTGCATTAGATGATATGGACTTAGATGATATGTGGACGATGTGACACCAATGAACTTCTTTCTCTGGAGCTCTAGTCTATGCCAATAAGCCCGAGATGGTGCGAAAGGTGAAGAACGAAATCACACGCGCTATAAATGACATACCTCCTGAACTATGCCAAAAATTCATCGAAAAATTTGATATGCGCTTCATTTTTTACCAGATAAGTCTTGGTAGGCATTTGACGGATATTGTGTTTTATACTTAAGGCTCCGCCAGATGAAAATTCGTTTCTGCATTACAGGGATCTTTTGACTGACATCCAAGTCAACTCTGTGATTTTGAATAGAAGACGCCACATTGACAACGCATGCGTTGCCGCAACTGATAAATTTTGCTGCCCAACTCTCAACTTTTGACGCACGCATATGCGGCAAAACAACAACAAAAATGTATGGAACGAATTCAAACCAGCAGCAGGATTCCAACTTTCGTTATCGCTAATTTTGATCGGCAAAAATCTCAAAACGAATAGCAGACACACCTAACAACATGCAACATCTAGTTCCATGCCCCTCATATGACAGGATTTGGTTGATTTCACACAGCAGAATGGTGACCACAAAAACTCTTCGGATAAAATCTTGCAACTTCTGACAAAGAGAGGATCGACTTTACTCCCCCATTTTCCCCCTACTTTATCAGAGAGCCGAGTACGGGAACGCTTTCTGGTAAATTCCTGTAAATTCTTGCAACTTCTTGCCAGTTAGGGAACGCACCTATTTTTGGTGAACGTTTTATGACTTTCTCATACTGAATACCAAAATCGCCTCAAGCAACAAAAAAATTAACTAATTTGTTTTCAAATTTAGTGGCTTAATATGAGACTGACTTACTGAATACCAGTATTAATCTACTTTAGGAGACGATATGGGGGTAAGTGGGTACTTTTTATGCTTTCCTCTGATGGGGTTGCTGCAGAGGAAACCTTCAAATCCACAAATCGAGTTTTAATCTCTAGTAACTAGCCTCAAAGTATATATTCGAAAGAAATTAACCACGAGTGCAGTGTTCATGACTTTGGAAAGAGATTCACTAACTAATTTTACGTCCGATCGCATGGAGAAAACCTAACGCTAATCCTCAACAATACCAAAACTCTCTTTGTTTAGAAAGTGACGAGAGGCCTGGTTTCCTTTGTTCAAGTATGTATTTCGGGACTGACACGCATCTTCCTCTTTATCTTTAATTGCATGCAATCTCATCAAGTGACTCACCTTCAGCAGATCGTAGTCGCCCTGATTAACCAACATCGAATCGATGAAATTAAATGCGTTTATAGCAGCCTTCCATGGCACCAGATCCAATTCATGATTGAGATACCGCGTCATATTCAATGCTGTTTCATAGCTCAAATATTCACCACGTGCCAAATTCATTGCGTCGTCTAATAATTGTGCACGATTCGCTGGACCTATGTTTCTATATTTCTGTGGCTGCATTAGATGAGCTGTAATAGCTTTCCAGTTATAAGCATCGTAATTGACACGATAATATCCAGTTTGTTGGATATTAAAGATAAACCAATCCGCAGTGGAGAGATTACGATCTTCAATTTCGTAAACTTCGCTGCGTGGCACCCAAGTGATGGGCCGTGTATTTTCGAAATTCAACTCTTTCGAAGTTGTATATGTAATTGGTATCCACCAGAGGGGATTTCTATCCTCAGCAGAGTATTGCGAGTCGGACTGATTTGAAAATTTAAAACGCTGTTGCTCCATGCGGATGGCATGCGTATTCGGATAACGTGTAACGGTGAGTACAGGGTAACCGATTTGTAAAGTCCACGTATCCATAATCTTTTTAACAGTGGTGTTTCGATCTAGCAGGCCAGCTGCAATGGCTTCTATAGTTAAAAAGCGCCACAAATCATCCTGTTCAGCGGAGTTGTAAGCCCTACATAATGTATACATTTAAGTTTAATTATGTA